TAACATCAGTTTTATACTAAAAGTAACAATACTTGGTGCTTCTCACCGTGACAGAAAAATTCTTCACTTCTGTGCAGATTAGGGTGTAAAAGTGGTTGTTCTGTGTGTGGCTCCTGGTGCCACTCCGTCCCTTGCTTGTAGTTACGAGAAGCAGGTTTACTTGGCTTTGAAGTCAGAAAATTCTGCACTATCTCAGGTACTGTCATTAGTTCAGGCTGCCTATAAACTGGATGAAAAGGGTTTTAATCTCCCCTCAAGAAAGAGGCAGATGGAGGATTGTGAGCAGGCTGTCATGAGGAGAGTCGGACCCTGGTGCTTTCTCCTGCGCCAGTGAACTGATGGGAAAGGCCTCTGCAAACTTTGCCTGAAAGTTCCCCTCTTCAGCCCTATCTTATGAATTTTGCTGAAAAAAAGGGAGATAATCCAACCCCTTGCTACTATTTTTCTTTTTTTTTGCTCTCACTAAGACTCAACTTTCTTGAATATTTGAAGTGGTAGAATATAACCAGATTAGGGCATTTTTTTTAAACGACTGTGTGTATCATTTCTACTTTTCCCAATGCAGCCTGTGCAGCAGGTGTGGATCCTGTGCCTCCAGCTGAAGGGCGCCCGCTTTCCCTCCGCAGGGCTTTCTGTAACAGCGAGGCCGGGGCAAGGGTGCAAGTCTGTTCAAGAGCTTTGGCCCTCAGGTCTTTCCACACTGTCTTCTCATTCCTTCTCGTGTGCTGAGCTGTGAGGACACCTTAACCTGGCAGCACGGATTTCAGATCTCTCTGATCTTTAACCTCTAGACTCAGTATCAGGTGATTTGAGGGGAGAGGTGAGATACTGTTTTGGGATAACCTGTCTTAGAGGCATTTTCTTTGCAATTCCATTCTTGGGGATTTTAGTGATTTAAAGTAGTCGTCCTTTGAATGCTTGTGATAATAATTTCTTCAGGCAAAATTTGAGCTGTATGGAACAATGATAATGTTTAAAAATGTATTTGGCTTAAACAAATTATCTTTTCAGTCTTGCTTGCTGTCAGAACTGACTTAATCTTACTGCTTCCAGGATGATTTGTTCTCATAAATATATTGTTACTGATAAAGATATAATGATCAAAATTGTACTGAAATCCTAGAAACAAGTTGCAGCACAGCATTAAATCCTGTGCATGCAGTCACAGGACAATAAATTCTCTTTAATTACTTGCATCAAGTCTGCGCAATTTCTCAGTAAATAACATTGTTTACTGCAGTCTTTTTCTTATCTAAGCAGTTCACTCCCCTGGTTTAGGCTGAGAACTTATATAAAACTCTCACTGGTGCCCCTAAGTCAGATATTTTAAAGCAGGAATATTGTCATTTATTTCAGTTTTGCACCTGCTATCTTTCTTTATCTCTTCTGTAAGAACATGCATATCTATGTGACCTTATCTGGGGAACTGGCTTCATTTTTATGATTTCTGCATCTGGAGTACTTACATAGTTAATAGGTGTGACCGGCTTTGCAAAATCATGAAAATAGTCCTTTTTTTTTTATTTCAGTTTCATGTTCAAATTTCTATGAGTGAGAGAAGTGTCCTTGATAACACAGTAGTAAATCCTTCCCTTAAAATATTCTTGATGTCGAAATGAGTGTAATCTCCTCAGACGTGTTATAGCACTACAATCCCTGAACGTGGTAATGAATGTTTTTTTAGAACTGCAATTAAAAAGCATTTAATCTCCATCAGTTCAAAAATAATTATTTGGAAAATTAAACTTAGGTTTGCTGTGACAAAGAATATATCAGCCAATTCAGATTTGGAAAATGAACTATTTAATGGAGGAAATACATTCTGTAGATTGAAAGGAAGGATTTCCTTTTTCTGATTTTTGCTGTTGTGAGAAATTTCAGTATTTGAATATTAATATTTGAACAAAGACTCTGGAATATAAAAGAGTCTTGAAGTAAAAAATGCACACAAGTTTTTGCAAGTGAAACACCTGTCTTAAAGGGGTGTTATTAGGGATATGTAATCTGGCCAGAAAGTATGATGTATTTGAATGGCTCTCAGGAGGCAATAATCCCTTATAAAGAAATCTAATTCAATGTTGAACTGAGAAAGTTGAAACAATTTTAGTTAGTGCAGTATTAAAATACTGTAAATGAATGTGTCATCAACCCTGCCTGCTCTACGTATCATTCTCTAGATCCTGCCCTTACATAAAAGCCAATGAGGGTCAACTCTGTGTCCATGTATTTCTGTTCACAATTTGAAAAAGGCTTACAAGCATTTGCACATACATACAAGAACTTGTTTTAAAAATTATGTTTCAGAGTTATTTTGAGAAAATGGCTGCATTCAAGAATTAGCACGCTGTGAAAATCATTCATCCCTGTTCCATATATTTAGCAGAGGTGTTTCTTAAAACAAGCATTTTGCATAAGTCTATGGAAATCATTTACTTCAGTGAAATTGGTGGAATCCATTTCGTTAGATCTAGCATGTTCTGGGGTACAAAGCCTTTGTCCTGGCGGTCTGTATGCTTTAGATATTCCGTTATGCAAATCTAACAATTCATCAGAGATTCTGCCCCATTCCTGCTACACTCCTCACGGTTTACCGTATAGTTTATCTACTGCAGACAAATCTACATACCATGCACAGTCTCTCAAACCTAGCAGCTTCTGCCCACAAAAGCAACACAAGCTTGTTTTACTATTATTCGCACGTCAGCGACACTGTGTTCAGCGTATCATGTGCAAAGAGAATTCCCATCCCAGTGAGTTTAGAGTCTGAAAAGTATCAGGCCTGATGCTCAGTTCACACAAAGCGACATAATCCCATGCAAGCCAGTGAACTCTGTATTACACAAGCTTGCTCATTGTTTCAAACAGGTGGAATTTTTTTTAAAAAAGCAAGACTAGGAACAGGCAAGCATGTAGTACTTTGTATCAAGCTTTGCCATAGTACAAGAAGAGACAAAGGCCTGGTCAGAAAATACAGAAAATAATTCTATTTAATAGAATAAAAAACAAAGTCATACCCACAGGTAGCTCAGAGTCACATCAAGGTACATGTCTGCTTCTGATCTGAACTCTTCAGACACCCTGTTTTAACCCATGCCCACCCCCACAGTGCAATTTGGGCACAAACAAAAAAGCCTCCCCGTGCAGTCATCCCGGTGATATCAGATGCCCCTCCCCTGCAGCCCTAGGTGACAGCCCAGCTCATTCACCCTGCGTGTTTTGCATGCTGCTTGCAGGGGATTGGGATCATGCTTATTGCTCATAAGGTCAGGTGTAATTTATCCTGTGTAATTCTGCTTCCTGTGGCAGATTCAGTTTGATATGGTTTTCTCACTTTCTGTTTCATACTGCTAACGTGTCTGTACAGACATAGGCACAGCTTAGTGCGAACACGTCTTTTGTCTGCAACATCTTTGGGATTTTTTTTATCGTTAGTGGTTTGCTAATTTCCCGTGATCTCCCATCTGTGTAGCATGTTTTAAATATAGCACATCCACATTACAAAATTCTTCCTCCTCCTCTTCTTCATGTATTTCTGTACTACGTTATGAGAAATCTAGGACAAACAGCATAATAAAGATATATAAAAATGAATTCAAAATTTTGCCCAAATAAAACATAAACTGATTCTTCTTAAAGTATAATCTTACTGGAATGCATTATTCTCAGTTCTTTCAAAGTTACAGTACAAGTTCACATGACATGTTTTGGTTACCCAGGAGATGTTCAGAATCTCACCTGAATGCAGACCTGAATGTTCCCAAAATTTGGGAATGAAAGATTACATGTGTAGTATTGCTTTACATGTGTTTAATTTTCAGATTTTATGCTGTCCTTTGCTAATCCCTGTTTATTTTACTGGCATTTTGAATTCCCAGGTACCTTTCTGTCTGCATAGCTCAGCTACTGAATTGGATGAACAAACCCAACCCCTGCCAACAGCAATCAACCTCACCCTCATTTCAGACTGCCTGTTCGACTTATCCACCTTTCCAGTTTGCTAATATCAAACTCATCGTGAAGGTTAGATCCTCAATTTGTAAAAGTTGACGTACCTTCATAGAAATCTTGACCTACATCTGCCAGACCCAAGCTGAAAAGCTGCCAGGCTCTACCAACCAGCTAGCACACCGAGGATCTACATGCAAGTCACCATAGACTCCTGGATCAGGAAGGTTCCTCCGTAAACTGTAGAGTATATCCTATGCTGCACTGTGTAGGTTGTATGGAAACACCTGAGTGGGATCTACGTGAGATAGCAGTATAGCTATGCTAACATTATACTCCACCCAGTCTCCTGTGAAACCTACACAGAGCTGTACAGCGACTCCAATAGTTCAGCTAAGTGGAAGTAAGTCTACATGGCTCTGCTTGGTGCTGGGTAGAAATGCTGTGGTCCTACCTGTGATTTCAAACACGTCAGCCTCTAAATATTCTGCACCACCATCACCGTAAGAGTAGGTCACTCTGAGGAATACAGACCAGAGTCACTTAGGAAATCATCAGGTTGTTTCCCGGATCTGCCTCTTTTCCCTCCTTCACCAATCATTCAGCAGTGGCAGTTCTATAACTGGGGTGGGAAGTGCCATTCTCCCTTTCTCATTACTTCTCCTGAGTGGTTCTTCTGTCCAGTTCATGGCTGTGTCCCAAGACCACCACCTCACAGATGTGCTCTCTGCCTTCCAGGAGAGCAGCAGAAGGGGTGTCTGGGTACATTTTCCCTGGCTTGGGACATGTCTCACATCTCACATTTGCCACAGGTTTGCTGATTCTGTGCTTATTGCCCAGGTCAAGTGCCAAATTTCCAAATTTTTGTGTTGTTTCCATCCTTATCCTGCTAGTACCGGCCACATGTGAGGGCCACCAGTTTCACAGAGCCACCCAACCTTTCACAGCAATAGTAATACCACGGTGGACATACAGTAACACAGTGTCCAAAGGGTGACACTTGGACATGCTGCGCTGGGTACCAGAAGATGGACAAGAGTTAACCACTGCCTTACCCTGTTTTCCCAAAGACCCACCAGGCTTCAAGCTAGGCCAGTCCTAAGGCACTGGAGTTAAAAAGCAAATGAACAGTTAAATTCCTACATTTAGATTGCGAGTCCAGACGTTTCGAATCCAACCAGGATCTTTCATCAATGGAATCTGAAAGAAACAAAGAATAATGAGGAATAATACGGTTAATTAACCATGCACAGAAGTTAATGTACCCAGGCCTCAATTATGGTCCTTGAAGCCCAGCTGCTCTAATGAATACCTCTCCTGTGATTCCTTTGTAAGCCACATTGCCCTTGTGTCATCCTCACTTTTTATCTGTACTGAGATGTTCTCGATTCTCTCTTTCCACCATCTCAGTTTTCAGGGTTTTTGCAGAAGGATTTAATCCTCTGCTAGTAGGATCTGTATCATCAGCTGGAGAGAGCTTGGAAGCAGGGGATCCCTGTGAGCTCTGAAGAAGCATGGACCACAACAAGCTCTGTTTATTCTTTTGCAGGATGAGGATGCCCAAGGCAAGGGACAGAGGCAGAGCTATAATCCCACCCTGCTGGCCAGGGAAAAGATCTTTTCATATGGCAGCATCCCTAGATCTGTTCATGGTACAGGAAGACCTCTAATACCCAGTAGGACAGGAAAAGGAATTCTGTAGGACACGAAGAGCACATTTCAGGTCCTTTGAAGCAACCTGGAGTCAGGGGCTGCATAGCAGAGCCAGGACATTATTCCCTGAGTAGTCCCCTCCTGACAGGCAGCACAGGAGCCCCAACAGGGTGGCTGTCCTTTCAGAGCCAGACCCCCAAAGCTGAGGTGGCACACGATTACAATGACAACCTCTTTCTGAATACATAGAAGTAAGAGTGAATGGTGACTTCATTTTTAAAGAAACCACAGTTGCAAGACACGTTGAAATAAACTAATATCTAGTAAAAAGGGTAAGCTTCCAGTGTTGCTGGAGATGATGGGATTCATGTTTAACATAAAAGGAAAAGTTATTGAACAGAAATTCTGTACTGCATTTTATACTGTTTTTTATTCCATAGTGGGATTTTACACTGAAAGGACTAATTCTACAGGATTGATAAATATGATGATATGAACAAATCATTTGAAAGATTTTCCTTTGGTGTGTAGAAAAATTAACATTCAAATATGTCCAGGTTTGCTGGTGGTGTGTGTTCTGAAAACATTCATATTCCCTCATATTCAAATCTCAAAATTTTTCAAGCTCAAATGCTCACCAGAAAAAAACAAACTCATTCTACTCTTTATCATTCTCAAGTTGTATGACACCCAGAATACTCTGTGGAATCTTACTGAGCAAATAGAGAAGGCATGAAATGATCCCTTTTCTGAAATCTCTCATTTAAATACAGCTAATGAAACAATAACAAATAAGTAGGAATCAGAAGTATAAAAAAACCCAAGCATTACAGAAATAAGTTCACCCAGTTCTGGTAGGTGCAGTTCTTAAGCGTTCCATTAATGTTCGCTGCACTCACTCACACACTCTTTTATATGTACAATTAGAATAACATTTTGCGTTGGTGATGTTAAAGGAAGTTTGGGGTGGCACCATCAGGAAAAGACAGTAGAGGTCTGGCATGTAGCCCTTCTCTGTTCACGGTGATACCTTGGACTTGAGCATTCCATTAGGGATTGCACCACACTATTCAAACACAATTTACCAAGTCTCTCAACAACCTTATGGGCCAGGAGGTATTATTAATTCCATTTTCCAAATGAAGAAACTGAGATACACCCTGATTAAATGACTTACTCTGTGTTACAAAGGAAGTCTAGCATCAGAATTAGAAACATCTCTTTCCATATGGCCATTGTTTTAACAAGTCTATCCTTTCTATTCTCAGAAGCAGAACAAAAATACTGACATTATTGCACCAATAATTAAATGAATAGAAATACTCTTGCAGGCTAAATTAGTAATTGAAATACAGATGTGTGTTGTATGCAAATGCTGGATTTAATATAATTACTTTCTTCTGTTGCATGTGCCTGTTTGGGTTTAAGAGGTATCTTGCTGCTTTGTTGACCAAGATGGTGGCTAAATATGATGATATGAACAAATCATTTGAAAGATTTTCCTTTGGTGTGTAGAAAAATTAACATTCAAATATGTCCAGGTTTGCTGGTGGTGTGTGTTCTGAAAACATTCATATTCCCTCATATTCAAATCTCAAAATTTTTCAAGCTCAAATGCTCACCAGAAAAAAACAAACTCATTCTACTCTTTATCATTCTCAAGTTGTATGACACCCAGAATACTCTGTGGAATCTTACTGAGCAAATAGAGAAGGCATGAAATGATCCCTTTTCTGAAATCTCTCATTTAAATACAGCTAATGAAACAATAACAAATAAGTAGGAATCAGAAGTATAAAAAAACCCAAGCATTACAGAAATAAGTTCACCCAGTTCTGGTAGGTGCAGTTCTTAAGCGTTCCATTAATGTTCGCTGCACTCACTCACACACTCTTTTATATGTACAATTAGAATAACATTTTGCGTTGGTGATGTTAAAGGAAGTTTGGGGTGGCACCATCAGGAAAAGACAGTAGAGGTCTGGCATGTAGCCCTTCTCTGTTCACGGTGATACCTTGGACTTGAGCATTCCATTAGGGATTGCACCACACTATTCAAACACAATTTACCAAGTCTCTCAACAACCTTATGGGCCAGGAGGTATTATTAATTCCATTTTCCAAATGAAGAAACTGAGATACACCCTGATTAAATGACTTACTCTGTGTTACAAAGGAAGTCTAGCATCAGAATTAGAAACATCTCTTTCCATATGGCCATTGTTTTAACAAGTCTATCCTTTCTATTCTCAGAAGCAGAACAAAAATACTGACATTATTGCACCAATAATTAAATGAATAGAAATACTCTTGCAGGCTAAATTAGTAATTGAAATACAGATGTGTGTTGTATGCAAATGCTGGATTTAATATAATTACTTTCTTCTGTTGCATGTGCCTGTTTGGGTTTAAGAGGTATCTTGCTGCTTTGTTGACCAAGATGGTGGCTTGAAGATATCATAGCAGTTGACTGCTCAGTGATAACACTAAATGTTTTAGAACATGAAATATCACAGTTTCATCCCATTTTACACAGTCTGAGGTGTGGGTCTCAGTGTATGTCTTTAGTCTTTGTCACTTTTTTAATCCTAGGAGCACTTCCACCTCCCAGGGAGAGGTGCCAGCCCCATCCATGTCTTGAACATGTAAGAAGGAAACCCAGATGTGCCAGCTGGATGCAGTGTTTGGGGAACAACTGGGTTCATTCCCTGGAAAATGCCCGCCCCACAGTTTGGCTGTAGCCTCTGGATTTCCGAAAGGAAATCAGCAGTGCAAAACAAGAACCAGTTAGGGTCCCAATCTGCCACCTGTGCACACTGCTGGGTCCAGAATAGCTGCTTTGAGGATGGGCTGGAAGGAGCAGCTGTGAGGGCAGGCAGTGCACTAGGAAGTGCCGCCTTCTTACTCCCAACATCAGGAACATGTTGGCAGGGTGGATCAAGGGGGGTTTGTATTAATTTATCCCTTCTTCCTCTTTCTCCAGTCTTTGCAGTCTGGTCTGGAGACCACCCAACTAGAAAACAGCTCAGATGAGTAGATTTATTTTCAAATATCTATATTCATGAAAGGACTAGACTGACCCTCCTTTCCTCCCTCCCTCCTTCCCTCCCTCCCTCCCTCCCTCCCT